AAAAAAAAAAAAAAAAAAAAAAAAAAAAAAAAAAAGACACCAGGGCTCCCCACTGCCCTCGGGACTCAACACCCCGACTGCGCTCCCGGCACTCACCCCACGGCGGCGGCTGTGCCTCGGCTTGCTCACGTTCTTGGTCACCTTGTGGCCCTTGTTGAGGCCCACGGCCATGGGGTAGCGCAGAGCCATGGCTGCGGAGAGGGTTAGGGAGAGAGAAGTGGAGGTTGAGTCCCAGCTCGGTCCCCGCCGCCCGGAACCCCGCACCTCGGCTCCCCCGGGCTTGCTCGCTGCACCCAACCATACCCCCGAGCTGCACTGGGGCCCCAAGGGTTCGGATGGCAGCTGATGGTACTCGCGCTGGGCTTCACTAACCGGCCGCTTCTCAATGGCTGCCGCGGCGGAAGGGCCTCAAACGCGCCGAACTCTGGGATTTCTACCGACCCGCGGGCGGCGCGGGCCAGAGAGGCAGGAATGTCGCGGGCTCCCCCTGGCGGCTGGAGGCGTCCCTGTCGGGCCCCTGAGCATGCGCGCTTACCCTCACGGGCCCAAACCAGTAGTCGGACCGGGTGGGCGTGGCTGTGGCTGCGGTGTCTCCCTCTGCGGGTGGGTTGAGAGGTGAAATCCAACCTCTGCCGCCAGCTGGCTGTCCCAGCGCCAGAGACTTCAGCTCCCACTACTCGAATTTCTCGATTTATAGAATGATGACAACAATAGTACCTATTCCAAACTGTTTGAGCAAGATATGATAACTGGCACAAAATAAAATTTCCACAATCGGAGAAATTGGTTTTACTATATATGAAGCCAAGCTCTGGGCTAGAGCTAAGGAAAGCGTTGTGATATAGTGCCCCCTGGTGGCACTTGATATAACTTGATGTAATTTTAGGTGCAGGGATAGGAGGCGTGGTGGGAACAAAAAAATATATTTTTTTTTCTGGTTTTTATCTTTCAATCCTATTTTTTTCCAAGAGACAGTATCAATTTGAGGCTGGTCTGTTTGGGGTTAGCCCTTGGAACACCTGCTAATCTTGGAGGCTTGGACAGCCAACAGGAGCTAGTTTTTGTTTTTGTTTTAAAAACATCTTTATTGGAGTATAGTTGCTTTACATTGTTGTGTTAGTTTCTGCTGTATAACAAAGTGAATCAGCTATACTTATATCCCCATATCCCCTCCCTCTTCCATCTCCCTCCCACCCTCCCTATCCCACCCATAGCTAGCTGTTTATAACATTGTTTCATTCTTGAAAACATTGTTTTGTTTTTATAACATTGCTTTCATTTAGTTTTTATCTTTACAGTTGCTTTTTCTTTATGCGAGCACTACTGGTTTACCATTTTAAGGAAAGTGTCAATTTTTAATTCATTAATCTAAATACCAGTGATGTGCAGGTGCAGCCCACACGTTGCCTTAAAGAGGGACAGTCTGATGTCAGAATCCCAGCTTCTGCCTCTGACTTCTCGTTTAAGTTTCCCCATCCATAAAATGACAACAATGGTAGCACTAACCTCTGGTTGTGAAGATGTCATGAATGTCAAGTGCGTAGCGCCTGACGCAGGTTATCACTATTGGTGCACAAACCATGTTCTTCGTGCTGCAAATACACAGCCTTTGGCCCACAATCGGTTACACTTCCTTCCATCCCCGACTTCCTGGATGACGTCTATCTGTCTCTCAGCCTCCGTTTCTCCACCTGTGGAATGAAGGTGAGAGTTCTGGCACCAATACACACACCTCTCTTCACCTCCTTCCTGCCACCAGCAAACTGGAAGGACCAAGGAGTCTGAACAACAGATGTGCAAGGGAAGAAAGCTTTTTATTATCAAATGGGAGGCTGGATCCAGCCCAGAACACACTCTTTTCCTCTTCCCCCTCCTCAGACCCCACAATCAACTTGACAGCTTCGAGGGCTCCCCTGCTCGGGAAAATGGTTGGGGGATGCTCCGAGGCTGAGTGAGTGGAAAGAACAAATCAGGGACACAGTGGTTTCAGGTCGCAAATAGAGAGGGTTCCAAGGGTAGCTCAGTAGTGTTGTGACCTGCTTGATGTGGCCAGGGCCCTGAGGCAAGTCACATAGCCTCTCTGAGCCTCAGTTTGTTCATCTGCAAAATGGAAGCAGCAATCATATCATCAATGACAGCTGAGAAGACTGAGGTAATTAATTGCCTTCCAAGTCCCTGACAAGATGCCGGGCACGCCCCGAGTTCTGACTGTTTTCAGGTGCTGGTAGTTTTTCTCAAGTTTACTTTTCTGTCTTGATGACTTTCTTTTGGCCCTTGGCCACCCGCTCAGAGGTGTCTGTCCGGGCTCCAGGACGATTGGCTGGAGGGTCTTCTTCTGGGAAGACGAAGGGGCATTAAGCCCAGGGGCTCAGGCAGCAGCGGGGGTCGTGATGTTGAGCTCCTGGCGGATGAACCAGGCCCTTGGCTGTGGCATCCAGCCGCGAAGCAGGCAGAGCAGATGGAAGCGCCACGGGTAGAAGACGCCGGAGGCACGCGTGGCGCTGCCACGAATCACAGCCAGGGCTGCCTTGGGCCCCGGGGCCGCCTTGGCCCTTGTGACGCCCCTGGGGACAGGAGGGTGCGGTGGGGACTGTGGCTACGGCTGAGCGGCCCCCAACACCCCCTCCCCGCTCAGCCTGGCCCCGGCTCGCGTCCTGGCCTCACCTGACTCCCTCGGCGGCTGAGGCGCGATCCTGGAGGCCCAGGACGCACATGGTGATGGCGACGTTCACGTCCTGCACGTCCAGCTCCCGCCGGAGAGAGCCGAAGAAGCTGTCCAGCGCGAACTTGGCCGCCGAGTAGGGGCTGGAGAAGGACGTGGGCACGCGGCCTGGGGGCGCGGGAGTGCGGTGGCTGAGCGGCCACACGCCGCTGCTCCTCCTCCGGGAAGCCTTCCTGCCCGCTCCAGGCTCGCCCCCATCGGCCCCATGGCTTCCCCACTCCCCGTCCCACGTACACGCACCTAGCAACGAGGACACCACCACCAGGGAGCCCTTGCTGTCAGTCAGACTCGGCAGCGCCAACGAAGTCAGTTGCACGTAACTCAGGAAATTCACCTGGAGGTGGCGACTGCGAGTCACCGGGCGGAGGAGGAACCGAAGGCCAGAAGGGGCAGGGGAGGAGCCTAGAGCCTGGGGGCGGGGCCTTGGTATGTAGCGGCGGGGCTCGAGGACTGGGGCAGAGTTCCGAATGGACGAGGGGGAACACCAGCCTGGGGCGGAGCCAAGGTCAAGAGGGCGGAGCCTAGAACCAAGAAAGTTGGGGTCTGGAGCTGGGAAGGGCAGGGCCCGAGAGGGGACTGGTGAGAGGGTGGAGTCTGGCGGGAGGGCGGAACCGGGGCCGCGGAGGGGCGGAGAACCTGCATGAGCCAGCGTGTCGCCTGGGCGCTGCGGGCCCGCGTGCCTGCTGGGGCGGCGCCGAGGTGGTTCATCACCAGGTAGTCCAGCCCTCCTGGCCCGGAAAGGCCCATCAGCCCGGAGCTGTCCTTGAGGCTCCGCCCCCCGCGCCCTATGAGACACCACCCATAGCCCTGCCCCCTGAACTAGCGATGCTCCGGCCAGGGCATTGACACAATGAGCTCTGACCCAGGTAGCGCCCCAACTAAGATCAAAGAGACCCCGCCCTACTCCCTACCCAGGCTTCATCCCTGATCTAATGAGGCCCGGTCCAGAGTTCCACCCACTGGATGCCATGAGGCGCCACCCCTAGCCTTGCCCCCGGACCCATAAATTTCCGCCCTCAGACGGCCGTTACTACCACACCCCCGCCCCAATTTGGGTCGCGCCCCTAAGGCCTAGGCCAAGGTCCCAGACTCCAGGCCCCGCCCCTCACCCAGCTTGTCCAGCGCAAACTGCACCACGCGCTCGGGCACCTCAGGGGAGGCCATGTCCGCAGCGATGTAGAAGACCTTGGGAGCGCCCAGCTTCCGGCAGTTCCCTACCACCTGGGGGGGGGCCAGAGCTGCCCGTGGGCCCCTCCACCCCAGCTGGCCCCCCTCCACCTGCCGGCCCTAAAGGGGCCCCAGCCTGAAGCCCCCTCCCCTGCTATGAGCCTCAGGTTCCATTCAACATCATGCCTGAAGCGTTACCTCTGGGGTAGCAAACTGGCAGCCCGTGGGCCAGAATAGGGGACATTTTGCTTGTTCAACCATCAACATTTAAAACGCAGATTTCAAATAAATCTTGAGATTTCTGGCCTCTTGAAATTTTGGAAGGTTTATCCCCAGGAGCTGCACATTTCCTTGAAATAACACTGGGCTGTTGCTAAGAAGTGTCTACCCAACCCGCTTTTGAACTTGAGAACCCTAGCTATCCACACAGCCTTTGGTTACTATCAATACTCCTATTTAGTGAGGAACACTCCTTGCTTTACAACTGTCTTACTGATTCAACCCCACATCACAACCCAGGAGAAGGTCCTTTTATTGTCTCTAACTTACAAATGAGGAAACTAAGCCTCAGAGAGATTAAGTGACTTACCCAAGGCCACACAGGAAGCCTGAATGTTTGCAGGGATTCAAACCCAGGCCCTGTCCCCCACCTCACCCACCAATTAAACTTGAGATGGAGTGTCTCACCTTCTGCAGGAGAGCTTCGGTGGGGGCAGTGAGCACCAGGTGGGAGCCCAGGCGCGCATAGTGATATGCCAGCTCCTCCCCGACGCCCACACTGGCTCCAGTCAGCAGCACACGGGCTCCCTGGAGGCTGGCTGGCAGCGAGTAGGGGTGGTCAGCTTGGGGGATGGACAGGACAGCCAGAACGTTCCTCCCACCCCCACCCCCAGGCACTCACCTGCGTCAAAGTTGTCATCCCAATAATAGGCAAAGAACAGGGCTCCCAGCCCCACGAGCAGCAGCACCTTCATGGCCCTCCCTGGGCCTGCAGTGGGAGAGAGGGTGGCCGGCACAGGCCTGACTCAGTCGCACCCCAGTCACACCCATTTCCCCAACGGCGTCTTTGTTCGAAGAGCCAGTGGTGATGCCCCTGGCCCTGCCCCCTCTTCTCCATCTGCACAGCCACCACCTGGTCCAGGTCATCATCTAGCTCACCTGAACCACTGCAGCAATCTTCTTCCCCTACTGAAAACCCTGCCCGTTTCACTTAGAACAAAAGCCTTGGTGACCAAGAAAGGTCTGCTTGGACCAGCCCCTCTTGCTCACTCTGCTTTGCCACACCAGCCTCTTCACTGTTCATTGGAACCAGCCACTCACCATCCTGCCTCAGGGCCTTTGCATTGGCTGTTCCCTCTACGAGGTTGTATTTTGTATTCCCAAATACAACCCAATGGCTTGCTCTTTCAAGCCTTGGCTGCAAAAATCACCTCCTCAGAGGGCACTTCCCTGGCCTTCTCTAAATCACCTCTGTTCCTGGTCGCCTCCTCTCTCTTACCTGTAGAACTTTTCTCCTTCTCAGCACTTGTCATCCCCTGAAATCATCTTGATGATTTGTTACCTGTTCAGGATCCCTCTCTCCCCTTAGACTCAGCTCCATGAGGGCAGAAAGGAAATGGAAACCTGCTTCTGTTTTGCTCCCTTTTGGATCTTCCGTGCCCTGAACTGCCAGACATGCAGTAGGTACTCAACAGATAGACTGACCCAGAGTGATATGAGGAATGTGGGAGGCGAGAGGTGGGGGAGCCCAGAAAGATAACTCTGTCTGGATACACCCAGAAGGAATCGGACACTCAGGACTGGCTTGGAGATGGAGGTGACCGTGTCGTCAGGGTTAAGATGTGACTTCATCTGGGGGAGCCGATTTACTTGTTCCAGGGAGAAGGTGAAAGATATAAACAGGCCAGGTGATTAAAGTTAAGGGGGTCATGGATCTCCCCTGAAAAGGGCACAAGCCCATCACATCTTAGGGTTTCTATCCTCTGAACTGCATGGGGCAAAGAGGAAAGGCCATAGGGATCTTTGTCCAAAAACATCTGGGATGTCCCTTCCTGCTCCAAACCCTCCCAGGGCTCACCACTGCCCCAGATGGAGACCACACCCTCCTCACCTCAGCCCACGAGACCCAGCAGGTCTGGCCTCGGCTCTCTGTCCATCCTCATCTTCCCCACTTCCTATCCATGAATCTATCAGTTCTCAGAAAAGTGAACTCCTCGCCCTAACCCAGTCACGCCAGCGTCCCCTCAGCAGGGAACACTCTCCCACCTCTCCCCACTTCCAGGGAAAGCCCTGAAGCCCCACAGCTCAACACTCTCCTCAAACTGGCCCTGACCATAGTTCCCCCGCAGGGGTTGGCTGGCAAGCTGGGTGAGTGAGTGGGCGGAGAGATGAATGGATGGATGAAACAGCCAGGCTCTGATGGGGGAGGAAAGGAGGAAACCCGATCCTCGCAGAACCCACCGGCCCCCTGACCTCGCCGGGCCTCAGTTTCCCCTCTGGACAAAGGGGGCGTGCACCTCACTGCACTCTGCCAATCGCGAACTCACCCACTCAGGCCTCAGTTTCTCCCGCTGTCCAGCGGGGCTGGGGTCCGGGCCTCGGAGCCACGCGTGCGCCCCTCGGCCCTCACTTCACCACTGCGTCCGCCAGGTTCCGACCGCGCCCCCTCCCGTAGGGTCTGAGTCACGTGACTCCGAGCCCACCTCTTCAGGGGGAGGGGCTATACTGTGGGGACGCCGCGCCCAGGCGTTGCCGGGCAACAGCCTCCCGCCTAGCTCTCCTCTGGCCTCAACCACTGACCTGATCACGTGACTAAAGGCCCGCCTTTCTCGTACAAATCAGCCCTCGCGTTGCCGTGACAACCGGCTTCCAGGCACTCTCTTCCTCTGCCTGGGCCCTTAGTCCCTCGCGCCGGCGCGGGTGGATCTCCCGGGCCGACATCTT